CTCCTGGTTGAAGTAAGGTTTTCAGTATTCTATACAGCAATTTGAAGAGGTGTTTTGCTGGGATGCGTGCTACTTCTATACTGCCCGAGCACTCAGGTAGGGTCAGCAGCTGGGCCAGGGAGAGGAGCAGGGTACGAAGGGTGACACGAGGCAGGCTGTGCCCCCACCTACAGGGTTGTGTTGCAGACCACCCATGCAAGAGGAGCAGGGCAGGGGCCAGGACTGTAATTAGGGTCAGCAAAGAAACAAGATCCCCAGCAGATCCATGGTGATGAGGCCAGAGCTGAGGTCAGCTGGGAAGCCAAGCCACAGATTTGGGTCAGCAAAGGACACAGACAGTGGCCCATGCAGGGCCAGGGGTCAGGCAAGTACCAAGGCCGAGTGCCTAGGCTGAAGAGCAGCTCCCAGGTGACGGGCTGGAGGTCCCAAGGGGGCTCATCACAGCAGCTCTTTCCCCAGGGTTGATCCCAAGTCACAGCTGCACCATATCAGAGGTGCCCCTGAGCAGAGACAGCCAAACTCCATTTGGGGAAGGAGTGAGGAATGGTTTTAAGGACCATGATGTAAGTAGCTCAACTGTAGTCCTGAGAAGTTTGGGTATAACTTCTCAAAGAATAAAGAGGCTGATCACCGCAAATAAAATGGAGCTGATCACTCTTTAGAAATGTCTTAACAATCATAGATGTTCACCATGCCATTAACATTGTTCTCATATAATCAGGACCAGATTTCAGATTGGAAGATTTTAATATATTTGATAATACAAACTCTATTCTATTCATGGAGAGACTGAAATGTGAAAAACATCCTGATTAGAAGGATAACTTTTACAGCCTCCAGTTGTGAATTACAGCTTCTAAATAAGGGACTATCCTTGGAATAAGACAGATGACTTTCAGAGATACTTGTACTGAGATTTGCTAGAAAGCTGAATACAGTTGTAGGTTATCAGATTTTACAGATGTTTCACGGACAAAACTGAAAAGAAAAAAAAAGAAAAAAAAGGTTTAGAGAAACCCTTTCCTCAAGTTTGCAATGTCACATCTTTTCTAGAGAAAGGAAGAGTCAAACCATGTCTCCTAAGGACCAACTAATTTGTATGCATCAGGAAATCACTGAGTTTATCCCAAATCCTAGTGACTTAGAAATCCTGATTGTGACAGACTAATTCTTCAGTGCTTGCCAGTTGTTAATAGAATGAAATGGATTAGGCATTAGCACAAGCACGATAATTTCTTTTTGTGATTCCATATGGATGGTCACACTGTAAGTCCTGCAGTTAGAATCATTCAACAAAGAGAACTTGATGGGTTTTTCTAAAACTCAAATAATCTCAGAGAAATAATCAGAATGCAAAGCTTCAACAGAAGCAGAAGGAGCTGAGACCAGTTGCCTACTTATACCTTATGATTCTTACACAGTTGCTGAGTCCTATAAAACAAAGGAAAATCTCTTACTTTCAATGTTCAAAGACAAAGAGAGAATGATGTTTCAGTGGCTGCAAGTGATAGCAGGTTGCCAAACACCCTGAAAGAAGGTATTCAGCATGTATCAAATTAAGTTTTCAGACAAGTATAGTTTTCTTCCTCTGCAAGTGAAATGCTGGTTTACTGAACTGGCATTCAGAGCTGTGGAAACTTATATTTACTGCACACAAAGTTACTGCACACGAAGTATCTGGAAGCTGTATTCCCCTAGTATTTTATCACACAAATTTCTCAGCTGCATAAACCTCACTCGGTTGTCTACTCCCTCACTCAGCATGCGTTCCCCTATATAAGTCAGTATATAATTTAAAGAAAGAACAGTATTATATTTTGTATATCAGTGGTATCTATCTTAGTAAGAACAATTACTATTTGCTGTCAAGTGATTTATTATTTCTGTTTTATGCAATCTTACTCCCACAAAATCTAAGCCTCCATTCTGACTGAATGCTTCATTCACTAGGACAACAAGCAGCACAGAAGCAGCAGCACCACTATTATCAGTTTTATTTGTTTGATCTAGAAGAAACCTCCACACAATAATTTTTGTACAACCTGAACTGAATTTTGGCACCTATATTTCAGAGACTGTAACTAAACTGAAAAAGGAATACATCCTCGAATCTTTCTCAGAACTCCAGTCTCATGCTCTGACAATGGTGAAATATTTCTTCACTCTGCTCCTATTCACAACCATGAAGCTTGTAAGCAGTAGTCCTCCTGGTGACTTTTGAGAGTTCTTTGCAATTCTGCATCTTCTGAGACGCATGCTGCTAGCACTGCTCTGTGCTGAACTATTCAGTAGCAGAATCTTGTGTAAATTGACTGAATTTGGCTTGAAACTTGATATTATGAAAAAGATCACAAACAGATCAAACAGCTCCATCAAAGAAGATGTCAGAGATTTTAAGAATCACCTTATACAAGCTCCGATGCAGTCAGATGCAACCTGTCAAAAAATGCCTAGAAAGACCAAAGAAAATTACTAGAAGGAAGTTATTAGAAGTCACCCTTCAAAAAAGCTGAAGTTGTATCCATTAAGGACAATGAAAAAGAACAAATTGTGGTAAATTCTGTTAGATCAAAAGTAATTTTTACGGAATAATGTGGACAGACATAAAAGAGATCATAAATGGGAGACAGTCACAGTCTGTCTAAACTAAATCTTTTTTATTCATGTTCATGGTGATTAGACAGATACACACTCTAGAATATTATTTTATGCCGAATAAACCGGGGAATATAATTTAAACTGATACTTCAGAAACGGAAACTATAAAGTGAGTCAACAAAAAAATCCAGTAACAAATCTTTAAAATCAGATGATATTCAGTGTAAAACGTCTCAAGTCTAACATACCCATTAACTGTAATACAGAGTCTTTCACTGACAAGAAGAACAAAAGGTGGTGAATGTGATTTCGATTTATTCATTTTTAAGGAGTTTCAGTGTTAGATCATCAGAATAATAGACATGTTTGACATCCATATTGGACAGATTTGTAGAAACCAAAATAGAGAATAAAATTAGCAAGTCTATGAATAAGTTATGATAAAACGTGGAAAAGTCAGAATGGCTCTAGTAAAGTGAATTTGTCTGTTACATGTCACAAAATTCCTTCAAGGAGTGAGAATGTGAGTAAATAAATGGGATTTACTCATACTGCTTTGTTGGGCTCCCAGGCTTTTAAAGAATCTCAGCTGCCATGGAATAGAAAGAATTAGTCCATGAGAAAATTGCTGAAAAGAGAAGAACAGGAATCAATGGTCAAAGTTTTTTAAGAGTTATCACAAGTGAAGCCTCACAGGGAATCTGTCTAGAGATGCTCTGTCCAGCATATCCATAAGTTCTCTAGAACAGAAACCAGCAAGACACAGAAAAAGCTTATTTATCATTCTAAATTATTAACAGTAGTAGAAAAAAAAAGCCAGCTGAGAGGAACTGCAGAACAGACACATAATACTGTATGGAGACATCAGCTTACTGAAAGGCAGATTTAGGTTAGACAGTAAGAAAAGCTTTCTGTGGTGAGGATGGTAAAGCAATAGGACAAATGACCTAAGAGGGAGTGGAAGAATCTCACTGGTAATCTCTCAAGAGAAGCCAGACAAAAAACTTCCAAGTTCATATGTTCCATCCTGACGACAGTCTAAATGACGTATCAGAACACTTCCTCAAGACATGAAGCCTTTCTAATAATGCACTTTTTCTGTGTTTCTAAGTATACAGACATAATGACTCAAATATCTTTCTTGACTGCCTTCTATAATCAGATTAAATTAATACAGAAATTATTATACCTCTTTTTACCAGCAATATGATTTGGTTAGTTATATAAAAAAAATAAACAATTAAAAAATGGGAGCTTACTATAGAAAAAAAATTATAATTGCCTTAAAAAAAATCCAAGGCAGTTTGAGAGATTTATACATAATCTCAGCTACCTCAATCATTCAGAAATAGCAGATTATTTTATACTTTGTCAAATAAAATCTCAAGTCCATTATTTAAGCCTACCTTTCGATCTTGGACAAAGAAATACATAATATTTATACCATTGTCTCCTATCTTCCAAAAGATTATTTGCAGATTGGATGGTACTTGTAATGAACATATTACAGGAAAAAAAGACTTATGGAAATCAATTACACTGAAAAATGAACATATTAATAATATTAAATTCTTAAATTCTTGTTTCGTTTTCAAAAGACGTGTTTCCACAAATACTAGGATAAGATGCCTTGAGTATTGCCATGCATATTCTGCAGTTATCTGTCAGAATCTGAGACGTGTATCAGATGTGAACATTTTATTTAAAATATTGAATATACTGATCTCAGAACTGTTTGCTGTGATAACTTCAGTTTTGCTACTTTTTTTTACTCTACGATCCGTCTTTTTAAAAATACATGTTGTTGTTTTATCTGTTATAAAATAAACACTATTATATTAGCTGTAACTCTATATTTTTAGTGCGTTTCACTTTTTCCTAGAAATTTTTTTATGTTTGCATGCATATTTATATGTACATATGCAGAATATACATGCATATGTATAACAGGTAATAAAGATTTTAAAGCTCCATAATATATTGTATATATTGCTCTAACATTAATTTTAGAACAATCTTGTACAGAAGAGCCTGGGCAAACAGAAATGAAACAAATCCTTGGTCTAACTTGTAATAATCATAATCTTGATATTAGCACCACTAGATCACTAGGTATACCTCCCTGTATCCAACACAGAGACTCAGTCCTCCAATCAAAGAATTGTACTTTCATGAGTCTGTTTCTAGAAATGGCATGTATTAACTTAAAAGCCAGAGCTATAAATCCATCTGCAATTGAAAATTATTTGAAATGAGGACGGATGTCCTAAAAGTTCCTAAAGTAGATATCATTACGTCCTTAAAACAAATTTGTTTCAGTAGCTACATGATTTGGATGCATAAGGAGTGAATAAGAGATACTAAGTTTAGAAGCTTGTTACGAAACATTCATAACTTCATACCTTATTTGACCGTAAAGACACTCTTCCGCCACAGCGCGCACAGAATTTAGTTTGGCAATATGAACAGTTATGGCCACAGCCATCCGCAAATTTTGTTTTGTGGCAGATGCCACAGGTTGGGGCATCACCCTTCTGCTCCTGCTGCTGCTGTGATTCTTCACCCATCTTCTTCACTTGCTCCTTATACATTTCAAACTGCTGATGTAATTTTCTGCAGAAGAGAAGAGAGTATTTGTTTTATTTAAGCCCACAAATACTTTGCAATCTCTAAACTGAAATCAATTTCAAAACAGAAATCAGAGAGAAATACTGTAGTAAAGCGAATACTTTTATGATTTATGATGCTCAAGAAGTGTAACGTCCAAAAACTTGTTCTTTTTCATTAGTTATAATATAAACTCTAGGAGAAGGCTCAACACTGATAACATGCAAACCACAGTCTGCCTGTTACAAAGAAGCAACTGTTTTAGGATGTGACCAGCTGTTAGCTGCAAACACAACAGTAGGAAATATGATCCAGGAGCCCACGGCACCAGACAATAGGTTAATAGCTGGGGGGAAAACAAATCTACTTTATTCTTCCAAGTGTATTTTTATCTAATTTCACCAGATAGATGCAAATATCTTCTCTTGATACGATTTATCTTCATTTATCCACACAATACTGATGCTAAAATGCCTTTGCAACCACTTCTCAAGCATTGGGTACAAGCACATAAGGAGTTACATAAGCTTAACGAGTTATTCTAAATTATGTGAGCAGTTCACATCATTGCATAGGCACTGCCACCTCATGCCGAATCTAAGGTCGAAGGCTATCTTAGGTGTAAAATTCAGGGACAATAGTTTAAGGTATATACATATTTTACCTTCCACTTCCAGTGGACTAGGAGCACGTGTAGTCAGCTGCCATCTGCACACAGTACTGCAATGATTTTTTCAGGCATGCTACCTCATTCATATTTCTGAGCCCACAATAATCAAATCTCCATATATGATAGTTAAAACTGTCTCATCATGACCCAGTTGAGACTCATTTCACATTCTATAACGGCCATTTTTTTCTCAAAGCCCCGATTTCTGAAGTTAAATGGGAAAAAAAAATTTCACTGTAAAAAGTTGTAATTCTTTGATCCTGTAGTTGCTGAAAAAATCTGGAAAATGTGACATAGCATAATGTAAGAGATTTGAACACAAAGAGAAAACAAAAAGAAATTCGATTTCTCTTTTGTTTTTATCCTTGTGATTAATCCTGTGATTCAACCAGGTCTGAACAGTGATCTTTAAATTCTTAGTCTGGAATTGAACTCACCTAATTTTGCTAAAAGGGATTGAAAGTTTTAGTAATCTAAAAATTATTAAGCTAATTAAGCAGGTTGTTTAGCTTACTGAACCTACAGAAGCAAAATCCAGGAAATTAAGCATTTTCTAGGAAAGTTTGGAATGGTATACTAAGCAAAAAAAAAACAAAGTGCAAAAGAGATTTATTTTTCTTCAGATTTATCCTTGCAGAGATTCTTGAGATAAGGTTATTTAAAAACACATGTGAAGCCTAAGACAGAAAAAAGAATAACCTCCTGGAAAAGAAGAAAACTAAATTCAGAAGACTATCTTCCTTAATGGAGAAATATATCCTTTATATAATTCAGATATAAATTATTCATAGAATCACAGAATCACTTAGGTTGGAAAAGTCCCTTAAGATCATTAAGCCCCATACCTAGCAATACCAAGTCCACCACTAAATCATGCTACTAAGCACCACATCCACACATCTTTTAAATATCTTATTTTAAATTCAGCCAGGTCCCTTGGGCAGCCTGTTCCAATGCTTAACAATTCTTTCAGTGAAGATATTTTTCCTAATATCCAATCTAAACCTTCCCTGGCACATTTCCTCTTGTGCTATCGCCTGTTACACGGGAGAAGAGAATAACATCCACCTTGCTACAACCTCCTTAAAGCAGTTGTAGGGAGCAACAAGGTCTCCCCTGAGCCTCCAGGCTAAACAACCCCAGTTCCCTCAGCCACTCCTCATAAGACTTGTTCTCCAGACCCTTCACCACCTTCATTGCTCTTCTCTGGACAAATTCCAGCATCTCAATGTCTTTCTTGTCATGAAGGGCCCAAAACTGAACATGGGATTTGAGGTGCAGCCTCACCCGTGCCAAGTTCAGGGGGACAATCACTGCCCTACTCCTGCTGGACACACTATTCTGATACAGGCCAGGATGCTGTTGGCCTTCTTGGCCACCTGGGCACACTGCTGATACAAAATTATTTCATCTGAATCCTCAGAGGCTCTTACCAAAACAAGTATTATCGTGAGTCAGTTAAAAATTATCGCAAACAATTGTTTACCATGGATATTCACACACATGGCAAGAACTGCTGGGATTTGCTTTGTTTTCAGGAAAACTCCCCCAAAGAATGTACTTTATAGTATACTATAGAGGAGTTGTAGGAACAAACAGGCAGCTCCCTCTTTCCACCAGGCAAGGCCTGAGGCTGAAGTCATACCAAAATACAGCCTCAAGCTCTCAGCTGCCACTGACCCTTTGCCAGAAAGAGGGAAAGCAGGGTTACTTCATGTTGTTTATGCATCATTTTTGTAATCTACCTGCTCTCGTCACTTGAGCTCAATTCTGAGTCCTCATGCTGTCCCCAGGACATAGCAGGGGCATGGTTTTTTCTCTTGCTTTCAGCATAAGCCTTCTGGCCTGTGGCAGAGCAGTGAGAGGGGGCACATCTGGCCTCCACAGGGAGGACTTGAGGGTCATCGTCACCCTCAGGAGCTGGGGAAGTCAGGGGTAAGTGGCTTCCTCTGCCTTCTCACTGGTTCAGAAAGAGTTCACTGATGACCATTTTCTGTTGAATTGAGAAGGACACGAGTCACTAATAAGAAAGAGCTGAATGAAGTTGAGAGAAAAAATTGCAAATCCGGAAACCTGGCACATTTCAGCTTTTTACACTGACAACAGTGCATAATTGGTAGTTGGTAGTCTGGCTGGTTTCCATCAATAACACATGTAATCTTTGAGACCTTGTTTGCCTTCAGTTTTGCCAAACGTTGCATTCTTCACTTAAAGCATATTATCTATGCTGAACTTCAAGTTTATTTTAGGTTACATTCATTTTTGGTGGCTTCTTTATAATCTACAGCCTTTGTTTCTATGATTATTTGCTTACCAGTCTCACTGATGCATAAAAAGCACAAGTCTTTTGCCAATTCTTAAGCCTCATGTACTGAAATAATTTCACTCGTTGTTTCCTCTTGGGCACAAGAATCTATGTAAAGGTCACAGCTTGTGCCTCAAAGTTTAAACTTTTCAAGGTTATACAGAGTAGTTTTCTAAAATCCTTGTTCCAGTAGCAAGCAACTTATCGTCTGCCAAAATAGTTTATTATATCTTTTTCTGTTCCTAGAAAAATATTACATGTATTGAAAGCCATCAGAAACAATGAAACACTGAAGACAAAAATCTGTTAAAGAATCAGTTACACACAATGTGTTCTACTTACTGAGCAGAACCACTTGAGATTAATATGCACGTGTGAAACAAAATACAGAGCATTTATTTTATGAAGTCCATAAAAGTATTTATTTTATGAAGTCCATAAAAGAACTTTCTGACCTGTTTTATAGATTAATATTTTTTATCATCTAGCCTGCAAGTGTTTAGGCCAAAAACTAAACTAGTAACACACAGTGATAATAGGTATTTGAAACACACTCAGTAAAAATTGTATAGCATATATTTTTCAGAAAACATAATGCAAATGAAATTCCATTTTGTTCAAGTTGTCTGCACTTCTGTCTCTCCTCAGAATATTGCTGCCTGAGAGGGATCAGGAGTCCAGTTACCAGCGAACTGAAAGTACCCAGTACCAAAGGAAACTTCAGAGTCTGGACCTGAACTCAGATATCCCAAAACTACATTTTCCAGTCCCTATACTTCAGCTTAGGCAAAAATGCTTACCCATAATACAAATCTTATTCTTAGGTATAATAGAGGTTTTTTGCTTGTAAACCCAGATAATTACATCAAACCACACAGTAAGAGAACATTTAAGTAGAAAACAACAGTGCATATCTATAATGCCTATGTGTACTTTGGCAATGGCCTCAATAGCACATACCATCTGTACTAATGCAAAATCTCCTGTTCCCAAAAATACAAATATCCACTTTAATAACTGCTATAAATTTTAGAGGAAAAGGAGAAGTTGGCATGAGTTTATGCAAAGACCTAATGAAAAGTTCAGCTGGAAAACTGATATTCTAGTTCTGCTCATTTTCATCTCTTGTGAGAACGAATTCCCTGAATCTCACTCTTATCTGCTACAAGTTACAGTGGTGAAGTTCATGAAGCTTATATGACTAGCCAAAATATTTTTTTTTTTATTTTAAAATATCATATCCAAGACAGCTGCATAGAGGACTTCTCAGTGTTGAAAGCAAGGTCAAGAAATAGTTTTTATTGGAATACTTGCTTTGTTCTGGAATTGTGTTAATTTAATTCTACTCATTCTTGGTTCCTTGTACCTTTCTGGAAAGAAGAAATTCAATATCAATCAAAAGGCAGCAACCCACGGGTCTCTGCGACGTATCCAGGATGTTGAGGCCAGATATAAACGTAGAAGCCACTTCCCATTTCCTACCACAATTTTCTCATAGTTTTATTACTGATTGTAGCCTGTGCCTCATTTCCGATTCCCAGGCATGGAGCACAGATGTGGCTGGAATCCAGAGTTCCAAACGGGTTTGTTCACTTTTCAGCTCTGCCAAGTCCATTCATTCAATAAGCTTTCTGCCTGGTGGCAAGGACTATCTGGTAACATACAACATTCTTCCACGTACTGTATTAAACACTTTCTACTTTTACAATAGTGCTAACTAACCTGTCATCAAGTACACCCACTTCTCTTCCAGAAAGATACTGTTCTTACACATATAACCCCATGAGTTTGTAGAGGTTAGGAAACAACTGGCTGAACAACAGCTCTCCTGAGCTATTTTTACTGGGTGGAAACCAGGCTGTGAGCCAGTGCTGTGTGTGTTGTCCTTACAAATTGGACAAATTACATATGGGGCTACACTAGCAAGAGTATGGAGCAGCAGATAAAGGGAAGTTATTTTCCCCCTTTAGTTGACACTGGCAAGGCTGCACCTGGTACACTGTGCCTAGGCTGGAGTCTGCCAGAACGATG